CCCAAACTCTCCCTCTCACACACACACACACACTAGGCTCGTCAGTCACCCCGCGTAGCAGCATTAGGCAGTTGCTATGGTGTTGTTTAGCTGGGCTGACAGGTGGGCTCTGACGCCATCCCCCCTCCCTCCTACCACCTCCAGGCCACACGTCAAAGCATGCTCTTTCCACTCTGCAGCAAAAATACTTTGCATGAACATTATCAATATGTGGATGCGCCTGCCCTTGTGTTATGAATTTGTTTGAATTTGCAAAGAGTAGATACTCTACATGTTCTGTTTGTTCGACGCCTTAGGGAGGATTGTGTTAGAGCCATGTTGTTTCACATGTATGGGGAAAATCCCACTGAAATGTTGCTGACGACTGAGAAGAGGGGTTGCTAGGTAACCTGACGTCAGGGGCCACTGGTGTATGGAGCTAAATAAAGAGGTTAACTTTTAGCTGCAGTACAATTAATCTATGGCACAAAAAATGAATGTGATCATTATCTTCATCTTTGTATAACCTCTTTAAAGCATCTATTAAAACAATATCACATTTGTATTCAACAAGAGTGAACACGCTTAACATTGATTCACTTTTATGTTTCTCTAGTGAAAAATGAAGCAAAATACTTATTGGTAAGAAACATGTCGTTTTTACCATTATCCAAAACTGCCTTTAATTGTATTGTTTTGTTTTTCATGGACAAAATGATATACTAATAAATAATACATTTGCAAAAGCTTATACTTGTTCATGCCAAACTGAGTGGATGAAACAATATCATCTACCCTATATGAATATTGGGTACTTTTTTTGTTGTTTGTTAAATATTTGAATGGGTTACAATTGTAATTCTATAAATGTATAGACTTAATTTCTTTAGTAAAGCATTTAGCTTTGCTTCCAACAGTAGCCCTGTATCAGCGTATTAGTACTGTAATGTGTGTTTGGATTTCATTATGAAGCTAACCATAAAATAGTGTCTATTGCATCCACTTCAACTCCTCACATACACTTCATCCTCTTTGCCTTTTTCTGGCTTTTGTTAACAGTCAAGCAGCGACCTTTTTACATCCCAAGGCCTCACTTTTCTTGTGTCGACTGAGAGGTTTTATTCAACTGCCTCCACAGAAAAAGCAGAAAAAGACACTCGCACTTCTTTATTGAGAGATGCGCGTGGTGTTGAGAGCTTGCCGGTGTTGCGTGGCTGGTTTGAAGGTGCCGTAAACTTGCCTTGCGCTCCTCTATGTCTGTAATGGATTCTTAAAGATGGTCCAGGAGATAAGCAGACACACTAGACGGCAGCACAGGGATGCACAATGCAGTCTGCTGCAAACCAATACCACGGTGTTCATTGTGATAGTTACTCACAGGACCACTGCACTTGACATTGGCTCAGAAAGCATCAGGATAGAGTCTCCAGGCTTCAGATATCACCTGTCAGGGCTGCTTTTGACTTTAGGGATGAGCTGACAAGTGCTCACTGGGCAGATGCTGCTACGGGAGATTCCTCCAAAGATAGACGAGCCTTCACCTGTCTCTGAAATGTTTGCAACTAATTCATTAACATTTGGTCTTAACAGTATTGCTTACTCTCAAAAATGGCAAATAACACACTTGCCATCTTTGAGAGTTGGCAACACCCATAAATGATACATTTAACAACATGCTGTCTTATTGTCATGTTTAATCTTATTAGAAATCATGTTATCCTTTGCATATTTGTAAGAATAAGTTTCTATCTGTCCGTATCTGATCAAAAAATGCAATACATATATTTTTATACATATATATATATATATATATATATATATACAAATAAACACATATGCATGTATTAGTTTGCAAATGTAATCTATTTTTGTTAAATAAACATGACAATTCAATGAACATTTATATATATATTTAATTTTTGATTTATTTTTTATAAATTATATTTATTATTTGGCAGTTCTGGTTCTGCATATGTGTTAATGGACTCTCCTTGTTTTATTGAAGTTTTACTAGATTGGAGCCACCTTAACCTATTCAATGTTAGAAGGGGCAGTCGCCTTCATTGGCAGAGGCTTTGTACCTGAGATGTTGAAGTTGTTCGAACATGGCAATTATATCGACTACTTAGTTGGTGTACCTGACCTTTTATTCCAAATGTCCTTCCTGCATCATATCGCCAAACCTACCAAACCTCTTTTGAAAGGGCAGTCGCCTTCATTGGAAAAGGTTTTTTCCTGGTGCCTGGAATTTTGTAGCTGTCCAAACATTTATTGCTTTCTCTTTAGCTTTCAAGCTAGTTTTGTCTATTGCATATTATTTCAAAGGCCTATAATAGTAGTGGCCCATCATCTGGCATATCAGAACAGAAGCGATCTGATGCCTTTGTAAAACTTGGCTTTTTTGGTCTCACTGAAGAACCATCAAACTCCTCTGGAAGTCGGAAGCTCACTTGAAGAGTCAAATGTTAATGAATTGACATTTGATCTGTCAGTGGACTTGTATGATGTGTCTCTTTCACCCACCACTTCGGTCTCAGGAATTGTTGATAAGGCCTGTGTAAATGGATCCTCCTTGTTCTCCTAAACTTTTTTGTCAAAGACTGGAGTCACCTTATTGACCGTTTCAGTGTTTGAAGGGGAAATTGCCTTCATTGGCAGAGGCTTGGTGCCTGGGATATAGCTTTCCGACCATTTGTTGCTTTCTCAGTCGGTGTAACCGGCTGAGCATAGTCGGTGTACCTGACATTTTATGCCAAAATTGTTGATAAGGCAACAAATGGCTATTCCTGTATCGTATTTCTAATACTTCCAAACCTCTTTTGTTTCAGAAACAAAAGAGATTTTTCAGATTCAGAGAGAGAATTTGCAGTTTTTATAGCTTTTGCAGCCAGCTCATTATTTGTCACAAAAGGTCTGTCCACCATACTGGGAGATGATTTCTGATTTCGTAATGGCTACGCTTAAAGCTTTGCTTTCAAAGTGTTCTCATAAGAAGCAATAGAAGCGGAACTGTTATTAATGCCCGTCTGCGTATTTGCCTTTCGTTTGACCGGAGAAGGCTGTGTTTCCCTTCATTGTAGCAACTATTTTTCGGCTTGACTTGACAAATAACTTGTTTCTGTGATTTGGGCCTATCTTGTAAACCCGAAGTCCCATATTCCAGAAGTAAAGTGTCTTTTGTACAAAATAAATGTGTACATAAATATATCAAAATTATCGCGCATCTTTTTGACATGGATATTGCACATACCAATATCGCAATTTTTCCGATATATTGCGCAGCCCTAAGTTTTTGAGTTTGATGTAATTTGTTACTGCCTAGTTCTTTCTCCAACTTCAACAGTTGTAGGATTATCCTGCAAAGCCTGAAAGGTACTGTGTTTTTTTACAGTTGCTCCAAATGAAAAAACATGTTAATTTACAACCACCATGTTTTTGAATTGTGAGAGAGCTGGAGCTGGAGGATTCTCCAGGTCAATGCACCATTTTGAAATACATTGGTTGATAAGGAACAAAAACGATGTGAGAATCACGTTTTTGTTTCACAGATGCTACTAATATTGTTGCTTCTACCGTGCCCTGAAGAGTTTTAACTACCCAAACAACAATCTTTAGAAAAATAATTATGCTAAAATCTAGAAACCTCTGTCATAACAGAAAACGTGTCATTGCGAACCAAACACACCTGCAGGCAGAGTTAAAACAATGGCATGCAGGCACTTTGTGTATGTACACAACAACATGTGCACACGTGAACAATACGTAACTTTCTTCACACGACAGTAATAAGAACGAGGCAGAATCTGCAACACGTTAAGAGTTCCTTTGTTCGTCCCACAGTGGGGAAATTTCAATGTTGCAGCACACATACAGGACAGTAGTAAAAGCACACAGCATAAATAAAAAAGAAAATATTGCTTTTTGCTTGTTTTTGCTAGCTATATCGACATATATATAAACACATATGCATGCATTTGTTTGCAAATAAAATCTATTTTTTAAAATAAACAATTCATTAAACATGTATTTATAAATTTATTTATTGATATATTTCTTATTTTGCCAGTTTTGGTCCTCCATAAACATGACATAAAAACAGGTTTGAAGGGGTTAGTCATGTTTTGTTTATTGTCACAATCTCTGCCAGTTGTAAATGTCTACACTAGTTAAATCCAAAAAAATGTCATTTATTCAACAAAACTGCATCTTACTCTCTACTTAAGTGCATAATATAAGTTTGTACTTTTATTGTTTTGCTCTCTCAATTTTTACTGAAGTACTCCCAGGTACTTCAGTAAAAGTACCTCTGACCTCTGCTCAGCCGCGCAGAGGTCAGAGGTATAGCATTATTTATTACAGCAAAAACAACTATGACATTTATTATTCATCATTTATATCCATGACATCTTCCAAACTATTACCATTATTTTCCCTTTGCTTTATGGGCGCTTCTGGAGTGGTGGTCAACGACTGCTGCCTCTGTTCTCTGGTTCCATATTAGAGATTTATGAATAACTGGCAACCCCAGAGCGCAGTGTCTCCCAAAGTGGGGTCCGCGGCCCCCTGGTGGGCCGCGAGGGTACTGCAGGGGGGCCGCGGGAGGTCATAAAAAAATATATATATATATTTAATGTTAAATTTATAATGTTTTGTTTGTAATATTAAAATATTTGTGTTCATTATTTGACTTGAATAATCCACTGTAATCATTTTTGTATTACAATGTTTGTAGCAGAGGCTATTTCCCCAAAATAAAATAACCAGAAGAGCCTATTCTTAATGTTGTCTTCTTGGTTATTATTTTGGGGGGCCGCGCAGACCCGTCAGATTTTTAAGGGGGCCTCGGTGTTACTGAGTTTGGGAATGGCTGCCAGAGCGGATTAAGTTTCAGTCTACTTTTACCTAGGTTTTCACTCCCTGATGAAAGATGTAATTATTATTGGTGTTGTTTAATTAATGTTTGTTCCCAAGCTCATATGTGGCTCATCTCTCCTCCCTGTGCTCTCTGATGCCCTCTACAGGTGAAGCTGATGAAATACATCTGTAAACAGCTGCAGTGTAAGCAGAAAGTCCCAGAGGCCGAGAGACCAGAGGCGCTGGGCTGTTACCCTCACTTACGAGACTGGCTTCGTACCATCAACCTGCGACCAGAACTCATTCAGGTATGTCTTCAAATGCTTTGTTCAAAAAACTGTGTAAGATATTATACATTCTTTACTGTCTTTTCTCAAGAATGATGCGTACATTCACAGAACATACCCAGTTGCCCACAACCGTTTCTGTTTGTCGCTATTTGTGTTGCTACGCTGTCCATGAACTCAACCTTTGACTCACAGAAAGGCTGCAGAGTTCAAAACACGAGTTGTTTTCCTTGATTGAAAGAATGATATTTTTAGATACTAGTTGAAAAGTATCTGCAAATAATGACTATTTTATTTTTATTATAAACTTCAACGCTGCAGTGACTTTTTCAAAAGATTAAGTATTTTCTTTCCAGTTGTTACTTACCATGACTTTTTCCACCCTTATACTATTTTCTTTACTAAGTGGATAGACAATGATTCAATCCCTACGATGTAATTTCATCGTTGTCATGGTATTTGCAGATTAATATTGTGTGTGGTTTCTACTGAAGAATGCATCCAAAATAGAAATCCTATACTATTGAATATTATTAATTCCCAGTTGTACATTGTTGTGCAATATTTCTCTCTGCTTACACTGAGGCTGTCCCAGTGTGGTGATCCATGTTTACTTTGTCAGAACAAGGTTTTAACCTGACAGATAAGCCACTGCGTACTTCCCATGATAAGGCAAACAAACATCCCAAACATTTCCTGCCCTTCAACTATCTCCCACTTACAAAATACTGCTATAGTCTCTTACATTAAAGGAGCAGTATGTACAAATCTGGCCAAAGTGGTACTGCACTCTCCCTGACTCAGGTTGCCAGATATGCAAACAAATCCAGCTGGGACCATGATATCTGAAAAAAAGAGTTTTGTCAACAACACATCTATAAACAACACCTTTTTCACAAAGATGGAAATCCAAATTAATGATTTGAGAATTGTAACGAGACCTATTTTAGTTCTGTGGCCACATGTTACTTTACCAGTGAGATTAGCTCGACGCGTTTTGGCAAACCGGATCACGGAATTTCTTAACGGTGGAGGGCGGGACATCAAAATGAAAACAATAACAAGATTTAGGGGCTGTAAGGCTGCGGTCACATGCACAGCCTAAAGTCCGGTTAAAGTGTGCCTGGGCCCACTTTTGCGATTAGATCCGGGCTTTAGATGCTATGTGACGGCGGCAACTGGTCTTAGGCACTTTGCTGCAAATGGGCCTGAGCACGGTTGAGAGAGGTGGGCCAGAGCACACGTCTAAAGCCCAGATGAGGGGGGTCAGTGTGGCGGGTGGTGGGGAGTGGAGGATGAGGTGTGGTGGGGAAAAGTTTGAAAAAGAGTCAATGTAATGTGCGTCACAATACGTCTTCCGTTTTGATGCACATTTTCACACACGTCTCTACAGCAGTCGCATACTTTTGTATTCTCCCTGCTTGTGTTCAACCTTTCATAAAAGCCACCGGACCGTGGTTACACGCACACGCTGGCCAAATTATGAGTTTAAATTAATGCTTGAATTTTGGGCGCTGCAAAAAGTGTAAAAGCATGTGTCGTTGCTGTGAACAGGCTTGCATCTCCACAAACATGGCTCATACTTGTTTTCATGGGAATGATGATGCCTCGGCCTTAATCAACCACAGTTAGGCATCAAACATATCTATCAATCAATCAACCAAACTTTTATTTATATAGCACAGTTCATACAGAATGCAACCCAAAGTGCTTCACTTTGACAAAATTTAAGACCAATTTAAACACACTCTGTCTAAACAGCTACTGTAAAAGCTAAAAGCATGGAAAGTTCTCTTTGGGAATTCGTTGTAGCCATGCCTTTTTAGGTATGGCTACAAAGAATCCCCAAAGAGAACTTTCCATGCTTTTAGCTTTATATTTATATGGAATCATGCATATACACTGTACATATCAGTATCCCTGAATATCCCATATAAGTATATACTGTATATTATACTGTATATGTGTATGATAGGTCAACATTTATTAATCATGTTTGTAAATCAATGGATTTATTCTTAGTTAGAAATACAATGGACATGATTTCAAACAGATTTTTCGATCAAATGTGGGATGAGGGTTGCCAGTTTCTTAGGTGGTTTCGCTCATTCAGTGAAGACCCTTTTCAAAACCAGTACAACATAACTTCATTGAACATAATGAGAAACAGGTACAGTACATGTTTTGATGCTTATAAACTTTCACACACACAATCACCCATTCAACACAGATGAGATTATTTTGAACATAAAAGTCAATGTGTTCCAAAATCCTCTTGTCTGTGATGCAATACACAATGCAGTATAATATGATTTAAGACACACACAAGCCTGAACACTCTCTGTCCCTACACCTCTCTCCCACTGCTCGCTCTGTGCTGAAGGCATCACTCGATTTCCTCCACGTAAACCTTCCTTTTAAAGCAATTTCTTAAAATGCAGTAAGATTCTGTTTTCTTGTAATTGGAGTGACTGTGTTAAGACTACTTTTACTTTCACAGTCCCTTTAACTTTCATACCATTGGATTCATTTCAAAACCTTCTAATCATCAGTGACTTGCTCAACAAAGCACCGTAAATACTTAACATTAAACAATGTTATGGAAATAAGTATTCATCGCCAGTGAAGGAAAATCCATCCATTTATTTATTTTTCTAAATTTTTTGAATAGCTCCCAAATTGTAGTATTATAACCACCGAAACCTCAATTAAAAAAAATATTCCACTTTTTATTATTCACAAATCAACTTTTATGTGAACCAATATTTGCAAATCGTCTTATTCCAACTTCAATAAAACCATAATTGGTAGAAACTTTTCGATGTGGTTTGTCAATGCTTGTCTTATGTCTTTTCTAGGCTATAGAAGCAGAATTGTCTCTGGATGCCTTACTGCAGATGACTGGTGCACAGCTGAGGGACACCATGCGGAGACTCGACTCCAGCTCAGAAGAATGTGCGAGACTCATTGCTGCCCTCTCCTGTCTAAAGAGCGCCACTGAATCAGGTTTGCTTGTCTTTTGTATGCCATAATCCTTGCTGTATGTACCATTTTGTCATTGGTCGCTTTTAGGATTACGCTTAGACATGGGTGGAAGGGGGAATTATTTCTGTGTAGGCTTTGTGGTCATGTAATATCACGTCTAGAAAGTGTTTTAGGTTCATATATTTTGGTTATTCTGAAAGTTCCCCACTGTAGCTTCTCCACATTCACCCGAATCAGCTAGAGGAGATGTGTGTGGATATGTCTGAGCATCTCTGCTTAGGTTGCTGAACCCAGCAATTGATGAAGGGGAGAAAATGGATGGATGGATTGTATTTTTTGGCGTCAGTCACATATTTAGAACAGCATTTTCAGTGAAAAATAGAGCACCACCCTCTCTCAGTCAATTAGCTCTCAGCCCAAAGAGTCAAATAGTGACTCACAGGGTTCATTCTTAAAATTAGGGAAAATATATTTTCAGTCAAGATGAAGATTCTGTGGATTGGTTCAGAAGTATGTGACTTTGGTTTTAGATTTAAAAAAATTAATTAACCTCAATTGTTTCCATTAGTTTTCTCTAGTTTATTTTATTTATTTTTGGCTTGATTGATCCCAAGTTCTGCCTCTGCCTCTGAAAGCATTCTGTTCTTGTTTTAATGTGATCTAGGAGGTGAATTCAGGGATGATGGCAGTCCATGGTTGTCAGAGCCCACCAGACGAGACAGTGGCTCCTTACTGACTTCGGACCAGCTGTCCAACATGGCGATGTCTTCTCGATATCACGGCCACTCCCCTCTGGCGCGCCCCTCCGCAGTCCAGTCCATGCCCTCCACACCTTGCGCCGTCTTCCCTCACCCACGTTCCAGCTCTGTGTCCGCCACGCCTGATGCGCACACGCCGCTCCTGCACGGAGACAGCCCCCTCACAGACCCTTTCCCCATGTCTCTCACACACGCTGCTAGACTGTACGGGCGTACTTCCACACCGCCAATCACGCCACCGTCAAAAAGGCGGCACAGACTGAAGCCACCGTGCACGCCCCCTCCTCCATCCCGAAGAGTGACACATCTGCTGCCCAACATCACTCTGACACGCAGCAAGAGCCACGAGTCGCAACTGGGCAACCGCATCGAAGAGCCACCAGCAAACAAGTGAGTGGGAAGTGCCAGCATCATACATTTACCTTTACTTTACATCTGCTTGGGATGAAGGTCATTCAAAATATGCAAATACTCAACACAATTATCATGCTTGGACAAACAACATTTGTTGTGTAGCTGTCCCTCACTCTGTCCCTGATCATTATGTTCATTATTGTCTTTTGCCTGCTGTTTAACAAAATACACTTCTCTGGATCTACTGTCACTCGGGCTCACTGAGTTCTATTTGGTTATTCGCAACCAGACACTTGCATGTAGAACCTTACGGACTATTAACATTTCATACAAATTTTACTAGTCCTTTGTAATAGTTCTCGGTTCAGGACTGATAATAATCATAACCCTTTGAAGAACAATATTCCTCTCCAATACTTTGTAATGACTCAGGCTTAATGGTTGATGGTTTCTAAAGAGCCGCCAAGTAAGTGCTAATGTCCTAGTATGGCCAACAGTCCTGGCTAACAGTCAGACATCTGAAGATTAAAAAATCAAGATTAATTCTAACTGATGTATATTGCTCCAGTCAACGATATGTTCTCAATAGAAGTGGGTTTTTCTGTATATCTGTAGGTAAATGGACAATGGCATTAATCACTTCCCTCTTCCTGCATCCGTGAATGTTTTTTATTCATACCAGAATATTTTTTGTTGCTTCTATTTTTAGACTGACCAAGGCTATGTCCTCAACTGTTTTAGTTCTGCAGGTCTCAGTGATTAATTATTTAATAGAGGCATATTGTAGCAAGAACTCAAAGTAGCTCATGGCTATTAATAAAACTTTCTCCCTTGCTGCAATCTTAGTCTAAATATAGTTATAGGTGTCACGGGCAGGTGTTGCATTACTTCATGCTGAATCATGTTTCTTTCCATCAGCCATACTTCCTCATTGAGAGTCATTATTGTGTCGACTGCACAGTCCTCCTATCCTGCCGCTGTCTCTGCTCCATTTCACATGCTCCCACTTCCTGTCTGCTGTTTGTTTGCGCTGAATGGATGATTGTAGCTAATCCGCACACTTATTCCCACAGTTTATGAGTCATGTCAAAACAGGAAGTATTTCCTACAACTAATATACAGGGGAGGGAAGGAACATGCAATCACTCTCTATATCTGTCTGACCATCTCTCATCTTTTTCTCTAATTCTATTTGTGTCTCTGATGATAGCACACTCTTTCTCTATTACACACAAACTCACACACACATACGTGTAAATCCATAATTTTCTATCTGCTTATGAAAAGCTTTTCTTGGAAAAACTAGATGACACTCTCTACTGACTATTAACATTAACAGTACTAATGTTACAAATACATTTACAGTTGTATTTGTATACTTAATACAAATATGGTATGTTTATTTTTAATACTATGAATACACAACACAACAGCAATCTCATCCCTTTTGTGTGTGGTTTGCACGTGTGTCTTGGTTTGCAAGGCGCTCCGGCTTCCCCATCTACCCAAAACATAAACTATCATAGGTAGAGCTCCTCCAGATCATGATCTGACTAAGCCGATCGCAACAGCTGTAGACGTGGCTGCTCATGTCCAATGTGCACAACAAATGGCCCCTACAGGGGATGGAAAAGGTGTACATAGAAAGAATATAATATGGCTATGATAATGTTACCTGCTTCCAGCGGATGTGTTCATGGGATGTGTGTCTTTATTTAGTTGTTCTGTTTCTACAGGTGTGTGAAAAAGAACAAGTTAATTCTGAATATGCAAGTGAATGGGAACGGCTGTGAGGACTCACCTTCTCGATACCCAGCTGTGACCGCCCGGACCCCAGGGGCCACCCCAGTGAACCAAGCACCTTACACCCCCTCAGGCACACCCACACTTCTAGAAGAGCACAGCATCATCAAGAGTGTGTATCCACCTGCATTTTTTATATTGTTTGTTGCTTGTTTAGAGATTGATAACATAATTTCATATAGCATTTATTTAATTATATAATATGTTGTATTATTCATGTGATAATATATTTGTTTCAGATAATGTAACAATGCATCGCAGTTCTCCACAAGCAGTGAGAAGAGACATAGGTCTTGCTGTCACTCACAGGTATAACCTTTTTTATGTTTATATTTGTGTAATGATTGTAGTATTACTATGTGCGGTGTAAAGTCATGTTCTATTTCCAGGTTTTCTACAAAGTCATGGTTGTCACAGACTTGTCAAGTGTGTCAGAAGAATATGATGTTTGGTGTCAAATGTAAACACTGTCGGTAAGGATCTTTTTTGACTTAAAAAAGGGATGGGGTGATGGCCCGCAATAAATTATACCATGATTTTGAAATATTGTGAGGTTGGCCTTTCTGACTGTATTGATAGTTTTTTATTTCACAAGATTTGTGTAAAAGCACAACCCTTAACAGCCTTCTCTTGGGTTCACAAATACATACCGTCATGTTTGGTCCTAATGTGTACTGTAGCTCTCCCATACCCAAAATAATCTCAACAATCTGCATAGAATAGTTTAAGATCTTTCATTGTGTGTCCTTTGTAGTGTACTCAGTTTACAAATTAATATACTGTGTTTTCTTAAAAAATCTGCTCAAGTAAGGTGGGTATTAGCAGTTATGAATACAACCTTTGTTTTACACAAAAACCATGAAATATTTACATCCACAGTATATATTTGATGGCCGTTACATCCCAATTTGTTTTCAACGATCAATTTATAACCACGTTCGTGAAGATGCACCCATGGCACAAACAGTACTGTGTGTTTTTACAGATTCAAGTGCCACAACAAATGTACAAAGGAAGCACCCTCCTGTAGAATTTCCTTTCTACCAAGTAAGTCCAATAGCCAAACATTTTTATTGTATGAAATTTAAAGCATTCATGTCTCTAGCCATTTCCTCAACAGTCGCCAAAATTAGAAGGACCGGGTCAGTTCCTTCTGATATCAATAATCCAGTGGACAGACCCTCCGAAGCACCCCAGTTTGGGACGCTACCTAAGGCAATCACCAAAAAGGTACATGTTAAACAATACAGTTTCTCAATAGTATTTTCTTTCCAAATACTGTAGATGTAATAGGAAAGTATTTTTAGGACCACCCACCAGTGATGAACCAGCTTGACTCCAGCAGTAACCCGTCCTCCACAACATCGTCTACTCCGTCATCACCGGCTCCTTTCCAGCAGAGCAACCCGCCCAGTGCCACCCCCCCGCCCAACCCCTCTCCCAAAGGCCACCGAGACAACCGATTCCACTTTCCGGGTATTTATTCACACCATTCGAAAATATATAATCTTGACAGATTTAAATTTATTTTCTATCTTTATATTAAAGTTGACCTTACTAAGAGTCTAAATGTGGCGATCAAATCAGACCACAACATGCCGTCTTCCTTTTATTCTAAAACATTGCATATTTAACATAGAGCCCTGGGAGTGACTATTTGACACTTAGACCTGAGATCTTTTTGGCTGAGTGAAGGTGGCGTTCTCTTTTTCACTTTTCTGTGTGAAAAAGCTGATCTAAAGATGTTGTGGTTTGAAAATTCAATTCAATTCCATTTTTTCTTGTATAGCCCTAAATCACAACAGTGACTCAAGCTTTAATTTCTGCTATCTTTCCTAACACATGGTCTGTTCCTATCTTTTCAAAAAGCTGCCTGTTACTTTCAGCATAGACAACAGTTTATCTTTCCTGGTGAGTTACAGTCAACTATAGGACAACTTGTAATCCCATACCCGCTGTCTAAACGCTGCATTTTGAGCTGTTGATGTTGTAAAACCATAGATTACTGTGTATTTGTCTGTGGATAATGGCTCCATCTGTTGGTGTCACTGGGACTTGCATGTTATGTCATAAGCTTGTTGGCCCTTCACATTTTCCCATTGCATTGCACATAAAAGCAGACGTATTTTGGCTTTATACTTTTGAAAACAATTATTTTTATTTTACAGACGTTTCAAGCCCCACTGCAATGCATACCGACATCATCCAAGACAGAGAGTAAGTTACTTTTTTCTCCACAATGTAAGTAAATGTGGCAAACCTGTGTTTGTTTTCTAACAGAAACGAGCAGTCGGGAGAGGACATACAGTCTGATTTGGTAGAGGATGAAGATGAAGAGGTATGATTGTACAGTATTTTCATTTTGAAAAAACTATAACGGATATTATGGTGGATAAATACGGGTTTCAATTGCCGTTCATTAGTTTAATTGATGGATTGGTCCTTATGACATTTCAGTAAGGCCCATTCCCGCCTGTAAGCTCTTTCAAATACAGAGCCGGTTAGAAAATATTTACTGGGACAGGTTGAGTTGCAACATATGGCAAACATATCAGCGAGTAAGAGTATTCCATATCTGTGCATGAAGCATTTCTCTGTCCCTGCAACATTGCGATCTGGGTCAACCAAAAATCCTGAATGAGAGAAAAAGCTTCCCTACTAATGCACAGAATTAGAGCCTCAAACATTTTGGGCATGTTTGAGGCTCTGAACAGATAAAATCATTAAACAGATTCTGACATTGAACATGGCTGATGTCTGTGATCCTGACAAACATTAAAAGGAGTAAGGCACAGCTGGTGACTTACTAGAGCTGCTGGGTTTTCACAGACATCACTGGGGACATTATCAGGAAACCTCTGAAATGGTAACAAATTATTGGATTTTGGAGATGATCCAAATCCCTGTCTGGATATTTGAATCCTTTTCCTTGTACGAAAAGGCTGCAGTTGCACCAATGGCACAGTACGCATGAGCCAGGGAATAGCCTGGTACAGCCTCCTGTGTTAATTACAAAAGAAGCACGGCCTCTCTACACGATACGAGTCACTGCATTACTGTGTGAATGACTTAATCACAAATGATGTTCACATTCAACCAGATGGTATGTTTCAATAATTTCTGTTCAGTCCAATTGAAAATAAGGGCATTACAGACATACGTTGTTTAATACAAGTTGTTGATAGCGATAGCTTCTGTGCTTAACAAAATACCACCACTTCACAGATGTGGTATGCTCATAGCCAAAACAATCAGTGGCTGGGAATCAACAATAATAGGTCTACCAGCTGTTAAATCTGTGGTTAGTTTGCAATCAGGTCCCTTTCTGTTTAACATTCACGCACAGAACGTACATATCGTATTTTAGTAATTGTGTGATATTTCACAGGAAGCAGAGGAAGAGATTGAGGTAGAAGATGAAGAGCCAGATGAAGAAGAGGAGAATGGGGAGGAGACCCATGAGGAAGAAGAAGAAGAGGAGTACGATGACGCAGAAGACATGAGGATGAGCGTGGATTCAGACGGAGACTGTGAAGCAGATGAACTGGAGGATTTACCCAACTCTCAGGGAAACCATTGGAAAGGGCCCATCTCCAGAAAGCCCAGTCAGACCAGTGTGTACCTGCAGGAGTGGAACATACCTTTTGAGCAGCTCGAGCTGGGAGAACTCATTGGGAAGGTAATTGACTAAAAATCTAGCCACATTCAACAAGAAGTATTATGGTTTTTTCTGTCAGAAGGTCATGACAGTGTGAAACCTGACAAAAATTACATTTGCTCTGTGTGTATGGAAAGGTATCTTGCAATTTATCAATTTAATAATGAATAATAATAGTACATCATACTCGTCATACTTTGGTCTTGCCATGTACAATGATTTCAAACAATTCCCTGAAACGTCCTTTAATCTGCAACAATTTGGTTGTGTTCAAGTGAAAAATTATTTGTTTTTGTAATGTTTCAATCTCCAGCATGGCTATGGTTTTAGCTTGATCCTGTTGCACTGCAAAATGTCATGAAAAATAAATAAAAAGTTGCTCAAATTTAGCAAAATGTATATTAATTTGAGAACATTTTGACAAGCAAAATGTGTGCCTTGGAATGAGAAAATAAAGCAACAGTTCTTGAAATAAAAATAAATGGATTTGTCCCATTGGCAAACCCATTAAGACAGTCAGAATTTACTCAGATTAAGATAAAGATTCACAAAATTATTATCTCATGATTTAGCATTTTTTGCAGTGTGGCTACTGCTGCTGTGCTTTTGTGTGCGGTCAAACCCGGGAAAATAGATTCTAAATGATTCCAGTCCGGATTACTTTGTGATGAGTGTGGTGAGCGGTGACCTATCAAAACTATGCTCGGCCTGATGCTAAAATGCAAATGTCTGTGTTGCTTGTTTGGAGAATGTAAGAATTATTCGTTGTGTGCTTCAGGGGCGCTGGGGCCGAGTGCACAAAGGTCGGTGGCACGGGGAAGTGGCAATCCGACTTTTAGAGATTGATGGGAACAACCAGGACCATCTGAAACTGTTTAAGAAGGAGGTGATGAACTACAGGCAGACCAGGCACGAGAATGTGGTGCTGTTCATGGGGGCGTGCATGGCCCCTCCACACCTGGCCATTATCACAAGGTAGGGAACATAATCATAGAAAAGTATATAAGTTATTATAGGTTCATAAAGCATGCTTTTTGCCTCTACAGTTTCTGCAAAGGGAGAACATTGTTTTCAGTCGTGAGAGATACAAAAAATACTCTTGACATCAATAAAACCAGACAAATTGCCCAGGA